CTAACACTATGAGAAGCTGATGAGATGATACAAATTTGAGGCAACAGTCACCAAAAGAGAAAATTTGATGTCACTTAGGAAGAGATGAGTTTTAGAGAACTTTACAATAGATCATCCCCAGCATCTGTTGCATTAACATCATAAAACTTTCCTTTACATTCTTATGAGTGAAACCCAGCATTCATGTTGTCATGCTAAATTGTGTAGTTTAAATATGGCAAATTTTGAAGTAGTTGGCCCTTTCATAATGTTAATAAAGAACTCATCATGAAGGAGAGTTGAGGATGCTTAGTAATGATTGAGGGAGAAAAGTCATTAAGATAATGTAATTCCTGTGGAAAAATTAATTGAATTTCATCCATTATTTCCCAGCTACAATTATCATATGTAAAATTAAATTACACAGGACATAACCTATCTGCATGGGTTTCTGTAAGTAAATATCAATACTTTTTTAGTTTTGGAAAATAAAATTGGAGTGAAGAATGGAACACACCCATAATAGATACGTCTGTCTTAGTTTTTCAGTATTGACTTACAGATGTGGAAAGAAGCAGATCCAGCGTATTTTTTCCTCTCTCACTCCATCTCTCTTTTAAATATTTTCATCACCTACTACATGAATTTAGAATAATAACATTTCAAAAAGAAACTTTTGTTTGTTGTTGTTGTTGTTGTTGTTGTGTTTCTTTTTTTTTTTTTTTTTAGCTTACATGCAGACAGTTGTGATTGAGTTCCTCCATTAGTCATTACGAGGGCCGTAATTAGTCATTATGTCATTTAGTCATTATGAGGGTCTTTTTTCTTTTTTTTACAGATCAAAATCACTGTTGTGTTGTGGTTTTGTTGTTGTTGTTCATTCAATTGGTTGGTTGGTTGGTTGTTTTTTTGTCCATAGGCATAACAAGAAGAGTAATGGCATTTCTGTTGTGAACTAGCTTTTACACCTTTGCAGCCTTACGGATTTTTACTGCTGGAATGTATTTACAAGAATACATAAGTAAGACAGTAATCTAAATTGGAAGTAACTTCATTTAAAGGAAGTAAACTTCCTTTACTTTGGGATTAATTAAATGGTTAGAGAATTAAGCAAATAGAATTCAGTATAAAAGTTTTTTTTTGCTTGCTAGATCACAAGTACGTTCAAGATAGAAGTGTTTTGCAAAGTAGTTAAAGTGCAAAATGGCATTCCCAAGGCACCCTATGATTTCTCTTCTGGACTATGGATGGAAATGAGTGATTTGTGATCCACTAATAACAAAAGGGATTTTTGGCTGGGTTTTAAAACTATTCATAAAGCTGCTAGAAATCTGACTACATGTTTATAATGGACCCACCCCAGAATAGATATTGTTTGGAGTAAATAAGTCTGCCATTTAGGTCAGATAATTCTTCATGTTTATTTAAGTTTATACATCTGCCAGTGCAGTTTTCAGAATTGAAAGGATAGCCCAGCATATCTGTTCTCTAAACATGTCACTGTGGAATATGACAGAAGACATCATCTTTAGCAAGAAAAAAGTTTAACTCATATGTGAAAACCTGAGAAAGACCTAGATTTCCCAAATGCTTGAGATTTTTGTCTGGCATGTTTGTTGTCTTAATAAAACAACTTACTCCAAATTTAATCTATTTTAGATTTAAAACTATAGTTCTACCATGTTAATCTCACTCTTGTTTTCAAACTACAATTTTCAAACCAACAATATCCCACTTTGTTCCTAGCAAGGAGGGCCTAGCAAAGTACAGCTCTTTCAAGGACCACCAGTAGTCTTGTCTCAAGAAATCCCTTGGTGAAGCAGGCCCTTCACAAGAAACAATTAAACTATTGTGCCAGCCAGAAGAGAAACCGACACAAGCTCAACATATGAGCTACCCAGACTCTGCTCCTGTAAAACCATGACTGATTTATACCTGCCTTTCCTCTGTAGTTTTGAATGATGTGTGCAATGAAACAGAGCCTTTTTGACACTGAGCAACTTTTGTTAGATATTTTGCGTCATAAAGATGTGATCTGGCTTAAAGAGTGCTCAGCTAAAGCTCTTTGATCATTTGATGGCATACCAGTGCCACTGCCGATGGAGAACTGTGACAACTGTGGAATCTGGAGTTTGTCTTCCCTGTGCCTTCCCAGCAAGGGAAGATGAAGTGGGAAAACACTATCTGCAAAGAAGGAAAAACAAATGAACAAACAAACCAAAACAAGCCCAAACAAACAGGCGGAACTAGGATCTGTAATTGGAATTCAGGTGGCTGCCCTTTACATTACCTCTAAGAGTTTGCTGATTGTGGCTATTCATGAGAAGTGGTTTTGGTTTTAGTTTTGAAAGATCGCAGGGCAACTGCTCTGCCCTGATTTTTCTTCTGTCAATTGCTAAATTTTTTTTTTTTTTGATGTTCTGTCTTGACCCTCTCCTCCTACTCACCTCTTTCAACATGTCTTTAGCTACTTTCAAAGGCATAGTGAGGAAGTACTTTTCTCTCCATGTTTCCTATGGCCACAGAGGTACTACAGAGTGTCTTCCTTGAGTTTTGGGAGGGGTCAGCTGACCGGTTAGGTGAGTTGGCTGAAGGCCAATGTGCCAGAATTGCTACTAGGGTACAAGGAGCAGATCCAGGGCATTGCAACAAATGTATTTTTGTTTGTTTGTTTTGTTTTTTGTTTTTGTTTTTTTTTTTCAACTCATTGTGTACACTACTGGTACCCAGGTCCTGTTAAACAATCTCACAGCAATCAGCTTGGGTTCTTTCCCTGGCAGGTGACTGCCAGGCTGAGCCTGTTTGATATGGAGATTATCGCTATGCATGATCTGATCTGCATTTTTGTCTTCAGGGGTGCAGTGGAGCACAGTACAGGCAACTGCACCCTGTGCTATCTTGGCAGTTCAAACAGGAGTGGAATTGAACAGATGCAGTTGTTCTCTCTGTTACTTTGTAGCCTCTTACCTACCACCTGAGTTCCTCAGCCCAGTACCCTTTTCAGCTGCTGCTTACCTCAACATCCAGTATTAGCTCTGATGTGGTCCCTGGTTAGGCAATGCACTGCTGAGACAATTTATAAAACCTGACATTTTACAAGACTCTGTCTATATTGCATTTCCATGCTTGAGATAGTGAAGATCCTTGTGCTGGGTCACAGCAGTTGAGTTGATAAGAATGACTCCTTTATTTTTTTAAAGCAGATTCCTTTTTGTATCTTCAACTTACAGTGATGCTTTATTCACAGTAAAGGGAAGAGCTTGATTACAGTTACCATCCTGGTTTCTTGGACTGGTAATATGCTAAATATCTTTTTCTTTCCTGATTTTTAACAGACTGTTCAATTTACTGCTTTTGTCATTCTTAACTGAAGTGCTAATACAGTCTTAGATCAATAGAGATGGGCTTTTAAATTGATAGTGTAAATTATGAGTCCTGTGTTAACAATACAGTACTTAGTCCTAGGAAAATGCCATTAATGTCATTCATATTTTGGCAGTTGAATCTCACCTAACTAAATCCCATGTATATTTTACATCAGATATATTTTGGAGAGCTTAGTGTCAAGATCATTAATCATTCACATAGAGCTGACCATATGTGACGATTTGAGCATATAGTGTTAACCACAGCAATATTAAACTTTCCAGTTGACCGTATCATCTGCCTTGAAGGATCAATTCAGATAACAAAAATCAGAGATTTGTTGTGCAAGAACTGGTTGCTTACACATACAAGCACTGTTTTTCTTCCCAAAAGAGAAGTTATTTATTGCTAAGACAACAGTGTTTTCTCCTATCACAAGAGTATGGTGTTGATAATGCCTGTAGAAAGACCCATATTTCTGGTCGCATACTGTGAATAATCAAAATCTGAGAAACCATTTTATTCTGAGCCAGGTGAAACTACAATGGGAAATATAACTGCAACTGCATGGGGAATGCTCTGGGTTCATGTGTTCCATATATCTCAAGATCTCTTCTTTTTGCCTGCATTTTCACTTGCATCATGTCACTGGATTGCTTATGAGCTATCAGGTAAACTTGCTGCCTGAAATACTGATAATACTACTGAAATTACCACTATGTAGATAAACACCCACACATTTACATCCACTTTGTGTTTCTGATTTTAATGCATTTTACCAACACAAAGGTTTCTGCTTAATTATAAGCTAAGAATTAAGTTACATATACTGGGAAGATACCTCTTCCATACTTATTCATCATTGTATTTTTTGCATGTTCTTTTAAAGCCTCTCATACTACCAATATGTTTTCTGAGTAACTGAAATATTGCTTTAGTAATAAGCTTACAGCTGCTTAGAGGTTATCCAAATGCTGTCCACCCACCAGCAGTAACTTATGACTGAGCCTGGTAAATAGACTGGCTCTGATCTGGAGTAGCTACCATAAACTGGAATATCTGGAATATCACTAAGTAATTTGAGAAAATTAAAGAGAGGTTGCAGCTATGTGATGGAAGAGATGGGACAGACTGTTATTATAAGAATCCTGTTCCTTATCCTACCCTTACTGCTTCAGGAAATGCTCCTGGCTCCTCTGTAGTAATATGCTTTATGAAATACCCTTAGAAACAAACAGTTCTCACCAGCATCGGCACTGCTATTTAGGGGTTAAAATCAATAGGAGCATATCAGCTGGAATCCAGTTTCTATACATTACTCTGGAAACTGGAAGGACTAGTCTTTGTTTCAGTTTAAATTGAGTTAAAGCAGATTAAGGCGTAAGGATTTTTTTCTACCAGAATGTAAAATATTAAAGATAGGCAATTTTGCATTGTCCTTGTATTATTTGATTTATTTTTCCTGATTCAATATGAAGCTGAATTCTAAGAATGCCTGTTGTTTACTGCATTAGCACTCTGATTTAGCCAAGAGAATACTGAGAATGTAATATGTTTCTGTGTCTGCTTATAGTCCAGATTTCATTTGGTATTTCTTTATTTGTTTTCTTTGCTATAGCAGAGGTATTCATATTTATGAACATTTTGTTTTTCAGCGCCTCCCAGATGGTTCTGCCCCAAGTGCACATGCTGAATTTTATCTTCTGCCGGACCCTGATGAGGTCAGTCGAAGGAAAACAAGAACGGTTCCAAAAAGCACTGACCCTACTTACAATGAAATTGTGAGTACTGTTCACTTTCTTCCATCCTTTCTTATGTGCTTGATTTCTGTTATCTACTCTTGAAATACAATAACAATAGAGCATTTAGAGCTGTTACAATGAGTACTATCAAACAGAAGGAACATATCAGAAGCGGAACCATAAATGGAAACAATCTTCTCTTTTGCTTCTTTCTCAGAAGTGAGGCAGTCTCTTTATATCTTTCTCTTTAGGAAAGTGTTTGGATTAGTCACACTGTTTGGTCTTATACCATAATCACTGTTAAATGTTAGCCAAATGAGCCCCAGCATCATTGCACCAAAACCTAGACCATTTTAAATTCAGCTTTATATAATAGCATAAAAAGTACTAATTGAACGGATGCTGTTATTCAAATTCGCATTTGAAAATGGACAACCAAATTGGCTGTCACTGTCCTAAATGATAGCACAATAATAAATAGCTCAGTTCTTGTTATGTCAAAATCTAGCAATTCACAGCCATATATAATTATTTCACTTACCACTGAAGTGCTTATGCCTCTGGAGTTAAGCAGAGAAACATTTGGATGGACAAATGTTTACCATAAAATGAGAAACGGCATAAACTATATTCTTTTGTAAAGGGAGATGAGATTCAAACAGTAGGTGGGATTGGAGATGGTAAGTATTACATATAGCAAATCTCCTAAAGATCTCAAGGCAATTTACAAACGTACTTCGAGCAAGCTTCAAAGCAGAAGGCACAGAAAATATTATCACTCCACCCTGTTTCATAGATAAGATACAATGAAATATAAAGTAGTCAGCTGAGACTGAGTCCTTATCTCCTAGTTACCCAGTCCTTGGATTTTGATTTTTTTCTCTTTTCTCAATGATTTTAAAGTTACCTACTTACATCGATGACTGCTGTAAGTAGGCTCCTCAAGTGGTACTACTGCTAACAGCTGAGATAGATTCCTCTGCCTATAGTGTTGCAGTGAAACAAAAAGATAATAGGGTTTATTTTTATTCTTTTTTTGTTTGTTTGTTTTCAATCAAAGAGCAAAATGAGGCTAATCAACCTGGCTAAAGTAATTTCTTTACATTTGAAGGTTATTTAAAAATATATATTTTTATATTTAACATTCATTTAAAAATATCTAAAATGAGCTATGGACAAGAACCATCTAGCAACACTGTTAGGCAATTTTGTTTCTAATCATTACTAAACCCATTTGAATACAAGAAAATCCAAAATCCTGGCTGTGGTCAGACAGTATTCACTGGGAGGGGTTTTAATTGTGGTTAAGGACCACCCTACTGATATTAGAGAAAATCCGTGCAAACTTTAATATCCTTTACTCAAAACTTACAACCTTCTTCACAGATGCTCAATCTTTTTCACAAGGAACTGCTAATCGCAGTGGGGACATATGGCTCCATTGAACTTGGACATTTCAAACCCGAAGCTTGTGCTGTTAGCAGCTCTGTTCCTCCATATGTGATATCATTCTGTATGCATTTTGTGTCCAAGGCTGGTAGACTGAGGCAGAAGCCCCAGGGAAGAAAAACAACTAAAAATATAAGTCATCTGTCTGTTAAGTTAGTTACTGTCCAAAATGCTGTGTACAGAAATGTACTAGCCTTTTTTATGAGTTCATAAGTTTTTATTAAAGCCAAACGGCTGGAAGGAAACTGTATATTAATTTCTCTCCATGTTCAAGACTGAGAAAATTCTGAAATGTGCTTCTCTTGGGTATTTTTGTTTTTAGTTTTGTACTTTTATTGCTTATGACTGCCTACAGCAAATTATCAACCTTGCAAAAGTGCATTTTATTTTTGATTTTTACTCATATGTGTGAGAGTAAAATGTGAAGGTCCAGGAGGATTAACAGTAGAATGAACTATGCTGAATGTTCTGGAGTTGCTTTTAACAAGCACTCCTTTTTTCTCTTGTTCCTCTATTTGGATTTCAGTGTTTGTTGCATCCACACTGGTGTATCATTGCATTAAAAAATTATGGTTGTGAAGAAAAGAAAGAACACAGGGAAAATGGGTAAATGGGTGCAGGACAATGAAAAAAAAAAAAAAAAAAAAAAAAAAGAATAATATACCAGCTTTTATAGGTCACTATTGGGAATAAGTAATCACTTGGGAGGTTCCAGAATACTTTCATTAAAAGTAAGAAAACTTGATTCAAAATTAATCTGAACGATTTAAGTTTAAATTCTCACCATGAAAAGTGGCAATGAGCTGCAGTGGTTTCTTGCTCGTATGTGTTGCATTTGCCATGAGGCATGCTACAAGCCCTCACTCTCACTGTCGTCTGTCTCTGAAGTGCCTGCATGCATGCACACCCCCAGAATGAGTGAACCTCCAAGACAGGACCATGTGTGCTTTGCCAGAACAAGACGGAATTCCCTCCATCCTGCCTATGAAGCTTGGGCATGGGGGAAACATGAGTAAATACACCTGGGCTGTACCAGTCCATGGGTGTTACTGCAGCTGCCTTCAGAGCAGAGGGGCTGCTGGCCTGCGGTGACGTGAATTGCCCCAGGAAGCCTGATGGAGGGGGACGAGGGGCCCTTTGCCAGGAGCCACCACAGCTCCGGCCAGCACTGTGCGTCAAAGCTAATTTGGACAATTAAGAGCAAATCTAGGAAGTGTGCCATGGCTACCTAAGGAGAAGCAACTGTCCCTCATTTGTGATTAAAATGTCATTAGACTCCTGTAGGTCAACAGTGCTTCTCTTTCTGGAGCCAAAAATATTTGAATTCCAGTCCTGGCTGTCCTGCTGATTTACTGCATGGCCATGTATAACTCACCTCCATTTGATCTGACTGTATAAATAGGAGGCCAATATTATTACTAAATGTAGATTTCAGGATTTAACTGTCCTCATTTTGAAATTCTGGCAGGTGGTAGGTATTTGTTTTATCCACATACTAATTCAGCTGTCTACAGTCTTTCTTCTGTCCCCACATCCTGATGATATTGCAAATTCAGCTGGAGCAAGGTCATTTTAGAAACTGTTTATTGGGGTCGTATGAAAGACACCCACCCCACATGTCAAGGTGTGGCATTGCTCAAAACTTAAAGCTTCTTTCTGTCCATGGATACAAAGTTGTTCATTACCACAGTTCATGCCTGTTGTGACTTAAAGCAAAAGCTGAAGATGATAACTTTCATATATTGGCAAAGAAATTGCATGTTTATACAGTAGAATTAGCGTCACTTAAATAATCAAATCATAGATTTATTCTAAAGTATGTAATTGCTTACTGTAAAGCTGGTTTCCTTCTTACAGGAAAGCTGGAATTTTTTATTCATATGCAATTTGGTGAAACAGGCACAGTAAACAAAAACTGAAAAGCACCTGGCACTACAGTCATGACAGCTGTTCCAAACTATAACTTCCAAAGTTTTCTAAAAGCCAGATAAAAAGAGAGAGAGGGGCAGTTTTTCTATCCCCAAACCCATGGCCATTCACCCTTGCTACACTGATTACACCAAGGAGCCTGTCCCGGTGTCCTGCCTGTTGCTGCCCGCTGTGCCACTCCAGCAGCTCGCGGCACAGACCAGAGCAATCTGTAATCTCACAAGGACAGCCTGTGCCTGGTGGGGCTGTCAGGGAGAACCAGCAATTTCATGCCTCCTGGGTCCACCTGTGAGGTTCAGAACCACCTTTTTGTTGCCACTTTGCAAGAGGAGCATTACTGCGGCTGAGCCTTTACAAATTCTGTCCCTGGTTGAAGGATGTCTCCCATGGCCATTTCTACTTCTTATAATTCAAAGTACAGACAGGACTCTGCAGTCCAGCCCACAGAGATCCTGGGGCAGGGGGGCTCAGTCTAATGTTCCTCCTCCTCAGCAGTGCCATGTGTATAGACTGCATTCAGACTGCATAGTAAATCCCAGAAGGCTGCATGGCAAGCTCATCGTAGGCAGTTCCACTTTCCCATTCTCACGAAGTGACAGTATGTTACTGCATTTGCTTTTTAAGCTTCACAGTGAAATTAAAATTTAAAGCATTTTCCATTGCAACTAAAACAGCAAAAACATTGGAAACATTTCCCTCCATACAAATTTTAGATTAAATGTACTTCTCTTAACAAAGCTTTCCTTTGAGGCCTGAAACTAGCTGACAGCATTCTTTCACATTCTATCAGCCTATATGCAGATCACTCAGCAGTTTTTGATTAATGCGGAGCCTGAAACGTAGGAGTCTGTCCTGAATGCAGCTCCTACTTGTTGACCTATCACTCCAGATTTTTTTTTTTTAATTCAGAAAATATATCATTACCATTTCATAATGAACCTCAGCGCATTCTCAGCATATCAAGGTAATTTCAAAGATATTTTTAAAACTTAGTAATTTTCTAAAGAGATGCTAAACAAGCTGTCTCATTTAATTTGAGAAGCATTAACACTTCTTGACTAACAGAAACATCCAAATTGAGTAGTTTTCACTTGCTGAATTGGGTCCATTCTTAACGATGTTCCACACCCACAACATCTAGGGAGTGGGCTGAGCTTTCTATCATGTCAACAATTTGATGAGTCCATTAAAAAATGCAAATATTTTTATAGTGGGCATATTTGGATACAATTAGCATCCAGAATCATGCATACAACTATTTGTGTTGCAATAGTAAGTCTTATAAAAACAATTTTCAAAGGAAAATTATTGTTTCTTTAATGATGCAGGTTTCTTGAATCCAGAACAGTTATGAAATTTCATGGTAGTTTCAGAAGAAAATCTGTTTTTGCTTTGGCATGTTCTTTCTTAATTTTGGTGTGCAGGATGTGATTTAATCACAAGTACAGTACCAAGAAACAATATTCTGAAGTACTGTACATTGATGTGATACACCTTTATGAGGTGTATCAGTGCAACATATAAGAAAAATTATATACCTTGTTGCAAACAAAAATTTTGATATTAAAACAGTTTTCCTGTTTGTTCATGTTGTTATTTTCTTTAGATGAGTAACATCAGTAACACCATCAAAGCATTTGCTATGGGAAGATATTTAAAAATTATAATAAACTATACTTTTCTGTAATTACCTATCTTATGGTTTCATACCACTGTCCATGCTAAGTACCCTTTATCTGAATCTCTCCTCTCGAAAATCAACAGTGTTATCTTTCCCTGCTGAGCTTCATGGAGTATCTGATATATCTCCACAATTGAGTTCAACACTCAGCTCAAGTTAGAATTTCAATTTTCACATGGAAAATTATGTGTACCTATTTTTTTTCTCAAGCTTTGCAACACGGGTTGCAAATTTATTTATGAATACTTGGTCATCAGATTTCACAAGCCTAAGCTGGCAGAATCTCCTTTATATAAACTATATAAGGTCAAATGTATTTCTGAGATATATTCACTAACTTGAATTTGGCTCATGGACAGTAGTTGATAATTCTAGAGGGCAGTTTAAAGTAATTATTGGAAAGTTATCATCATCATCCAGAATGCTGTACAGTTGTAAGTATATGGTCTGACAAATAGATTCACATGCTTTTTTCTGTTAACCTTTATATTATTTCAGGTTGTGTACAACAAAGTCATGGAGCTCAAAAGCCATATACTGAAGCTTGTTGTGAAAAGCAAAGGAACATTTGTGGGAGCTGTTAACATTCAACTGAGTAGTGTCCAGTTAAATGAAGAAAAATGGTATCCACTGGGAAACAGTGTAATTTAAATGTTGTCTAAGACAATTCAATTATTTATCCACTAATGTTTCTTTATTCCATTCTCCATAGTACATTTTGTCTCAGTTGCCCTTGAGAATATGCGTCATCTGCTGATCTTAACATTTATAATCGTAAGGCTATTGTCTTAAAATTGCTACCTTCTTCTTACAACAGATTCCTTCTTGTGTGAGTTTAAGAAATCACATGCTGTAGCAAGCAACTTGTAGCTGCATGCAGGTATTCTTATGACAGCAATAAAGATTTTAGTTTTATTCATATGAAATAGTACACTAAAACTTCCGAATTTAGTACACATCAAGCATGAGTCAGAGCGTAGTTCTTTGTCTACTAATTCCACTAAGTGTGTTGAAACAATGCTGATAATGGTGCAATTTATCATTGACCTCTGTGACCCACTGCATATGACAATTTACCAGAGAGATTCATGGAATGGTTTCCTGGGTGCAAATACATTTCAGAAGTCTAGCAGATTTCATATTAAATCTTACAAAATCCATACCTTTAAAAACAAACAATAATAATTAAAAAAGAAATAGCAACTTTGCACTTCAGACATTTTGTGCTGTATATGTTGGTGTGCTTTTAAGTGTTTATATAATGCAACTTTAAATCCAGGATATTAATTTGTCAATAGGATACTTCCAACATTTCTTTCATTCTGACATCGGAGAACCAGACACAACTGGTCAATTTTGGGAAGAAAGGAGGAGGTAGGGGCTAATCACAAATAAATAAAGCATTGAATATGATCTTTCAGTGTTCTATTTATTTAAGATCATTTTATAAGGAGTCTTTGCTCTCTCATCTTACCCCATTGCATTCTTATACTGTATAAAGGAGTCAAGTGAATACATGCATTGACCTTAGGGCTATATATACATATAACCAATGAATGTAAGTGCTACCTTTGAGTTCACTGGGGCTAATTATGGGCGCTGTTCTCCAAAGCATTTGTACCTAACACAAGGAAGCACTTAAGCACATCTTTAAACATTTAGCATGTGAGCAGCCCTAATGAACTGTCCATTACTGCCAGCCTCTTACACACACACGCACGGAGTTGAGCACGTATATAAACCTTTCCAGAAGCAAGAGCACATTTTTAAGGCACAAGAGACACCTTGATTTGTGATCTGATCTGCTGTAAAATTTTAAGTTACCAGATACTGAGTAGGTCTGACATTTGTTCTACCAGGTAGAAAAGTGGTCAACAGAGGGATAATAATGCCAGAAGCTGAAGATAATTGCCTTCTTCTCCCAAAGGACACTCACAAATCAGACTTCAGGAGGTAATGTTGTATAAAGCTCCTGAAGTGGGACTAGGAGTGCTGTTTAGGAATCTAAATAAGCTGGAGTATTTTTCAGCATCAAACCAATTGACTATGTCACTTGGTCAGTTTGTGTCTGAGAATATATACACCAGATTGCCTTGGGAAATTAAACTCCTCCTTAGTAAGGGGAAGTGAAGCGAACTCTGCTTGAATATTATTATTATTATTAGGATTCTTCAGAGCTGAAAAAAAGCTATTTATCACGTGAAGGAGCCATTGGCTAACATATAGATATGATCACTACAAAAATCAGTAAGTCTAATATTTTAGATTATAGGCTTTCCTGAGTAAAGAATCAAGTGACTTGTCACTCAGGAACAGAAAACACATTGTGCTCAGCTTGCAATGTTATCAAATTACCTGACCTTACAGTTCAATATTGATTTTAGATTCTTAGTCTACTGTCTCGATTTCCTCATTATAACTCTAATGCAATTTTCTAACAGTGTTATTTCCTATGACATTTTCTAATCATTGTTTACAGCATACCGTGATTTTCCATCTTAGAGCAACATTAAATAAGATAGCATTAAAATGGCAATAAAAATGTAGCATTAAAAATAGAATATTATCAGAACAGTCTGCAAACATAAGCAGTACTGTTGGCATTAAAGAAAGAAATCTATCAATAAAACATTCATTGGAAAAAAACAAAACAACAACAAAAAAAACACCCTAGTAACAAATCTGCAATTAGCGGGGTAGATACAGTCCTGTGGAAGCTCAATAATACTTCAGTTTTATAAGAAAGGTGGAAAAATTATGTCTTATGGACAAGATCTACAGTGATATCTCTGTCAGACAAAATGTTGCCCTCAGAGATCTTAAACCATGCAATCAGTCCTTGCCTTCCCTAAATTTCTTCTTCTAATCCAGCTCAAAACATGATGATTCCTACTTGCTGAGTTTGCAGTGAGATGTATCCTGAGCTCCCTGCTGCTACAAGGAACATAGGCCCTTTACAAATCAGCCTGTGAATTATTTGTCTTTCTTTAGCAGCAGGAGGTTCAAGATCAGGCTGAGAAAAGGTACAAATATTAGCATCTAAGTTTTTATCATTTTAAGAACTGTTTTTTCTCAGAGATGTTTTTCCAGATAGCAAAATTACAGTGGATGTTAAGGTTGCATAGCCCAATCAGAAACTGCCATTATTATAAATTTAAAGGGACTTTACATTGTATGTATTGTTTCCCTAGAAAGATGATTGTACAATGGTAAAAGTTTTTGTTCAATACAAATAAAAATTTCTGTGTAACATGCTCATAATTTTGTAGCATAAGATCATAAATATTAAACTATTATTCTCAGTAATTAATCAAAATGTTGTAATTAGCTGCAAATTTAATTATTAATTGAATTCAACAGAATGTCCAAAAAAGTTCAGTCTTTATGAATTATTTCTAAATAATAGTGGGGCTAACTTCAGTAGTTATTACTTATTCAGGATACCATTTACTCACACAAGAAGTCCCATAGCTTAATAAAGTCACTGAGAACATGCCGCTCTGGAAATCAGACTACTGGGTTGTTGCAAGCCTAGTGATGTTGCTTTATTGAGCAGGGTGTGATCCACCAGAATGACAACTAATGTGGAGCATCATTAGTAGTACCAGACATAAACAAACAGTGATGCAGGTTCAAGTTTGCCACCATTTTTGGAAAACAGGGGAACATTACGGTAACCTGTAAATATAATGACACTCGGTTAGTGTATTAACCATAAATAAAAATATTATGATAGGCTGTTCTATGATCTACTGTGCAAGTGCAGCATAATTAATGAACCTCAAAATAACTCTTTAAAATAAACTGTATGTTCATCTGGTGAGTAGAAGCATTTGAAGCTATTGTTCTTAACTTGAAACTTAGCTCCTCTGAAAACAAAAAATTCCTCTCCCCTAAACACAAAGCCTTATATTGCTTCATTAAAATTTAATGTCTGCATTACATTTAATGTCACAATAGTAATATCAGTTGTGATAAAAAATACTCTATTTTATTTATGTAAATATAACATGAGTTATTTAAGTATCTGTTATGATTAATAATCCATGTTCAGAACTGCAGTTCTCACAGCCCTTCTTTAGGTGTTTCTGGATGTGCATGTAATCTCTGAGACCCTCATTTGGTTTTGGATTGTCTTGATTCTTTTATCCAACATGAAAGTTCACTTTGTACCCAAGGTTCATCTTCTGGGCAGCAGATATTAAAGCTGAGCCCAGGCAAGATGCATTTGTGATCAATCTTTAGAGCATCCACTCAGTATGCGGAAGACTTTTTGTATTTGCTATGAAGAAACTCACTTCATGGATGAAGACTCATTTCCAAGGACTGTGTTCATAGTCCCTAGCTACGGAATATACTACCAAGAGTCCTGAGAGATGGATAGGGGTTTTTTTATGATTGAAATTGTTCCAATTCATATGAAACAATTAACTGTTAACTGATCAAGTGGTAGCTAGCATGGGACGTGGGACAATTGAATTTCTGTCCTGTATTGGTGTTCTACATAACAGAGTCACTAGGAAAGGGACCGTAACCCAGGACTCCCTCCTCTAGCCTTTAACCTCCCAGCTACACAATTGTACCCCTCTTTGAGTATACCTACTTAATCACTGCATGAAATACGGAATAGTGCTACAGGTGGGCAGCAAGCATCCTTCCCCATGTAATCTGCAGCTGAGTGGTGAAGCTGCTGCTAGGGAAGGGGGAAAGGTGATGACATAGATTGAATCCTTTCAAGAGGAAGAGCACGGGAGGGTGGCAATGGCAGAACTTTGTCCCATAGACTGTCAAGGAAGTAAAAGATGTAAGCACTGCTCAGCTTTTAGAAGCAACTTGCCCTCAGGGGAAACCTCAGGGATATGAATCCTACGGAAGAAGAGGGCATTCCTCTAGCGCAGCAAGAAGCACCAGAGCTATGCAGAGGAGCAAAATTTATTCATAACTCAATATTTATAGTTGTTTCCTAAGACCTGTAGACTGTTTTGAATCCCCTTGTAAGACGTTATTTTCCCCTTTCACTATTTAGGGTGCTTAAGTAGCTAAAGCAAAGCCATGGTTCCAGACCTGGAATACAGAGGGTTCAATGTTAAATATCATAATAAATTTTTAAATTACCTGTTGGCTCATCACTTAGAAGCATTTTATTTATGCCTATGGGCATCCTGATGGCATCTTCCAATTTTATATTGCAGTAGTTAAGGGCTAGGGCGATTTGGCACTGTTTCTACAGTGCTATTTCCTAATACGTTAAATTACTCCACTCAAAATTTTTCCTGAAGAATCTGCATGCTCTTACTTTTCCAAAAAAAATCCATTTAAATTCCCATTTATGACCCAAATTAAACCCAAATTAAACCATAGAGACATATGAGACATAGACACCATAGAGACATATGAGAGACACAATGAATAATTACACCAAAAAAAAAAAAAGAAATACAAATACTGATTATTTTACAACGTGTAAGCTTTAGCATCTGCCATTCAAATTTGTCTCAAAAATTGGGTAATGTTTCCTCATTTTTCTGAAATACCCTAATAAAAGTAGAAAGTAATCAGTGTAAAGATTTATGTTGGAGAAAGGCAAGTGTTCTTTAAGGTAATGTCTTTGTTCTTCTATAACTCCTAAACCTCAACTAAGAATCACAAGCAGCTTTATGACTACAGAACCTGAAGAGAAATAGCCATTAAAAATCCTGCTAAGCTTAATAAAAAAAGCCACAGTGCCCATTGCCAGCTCCAGTTTTTGCCTTCATATCTACGCTCAATAATAAAAGCTGATTCTGTTTATTTCATTCAGAAATACCTTTGGAAATCCAGTGTAGTAACAGCCATTTTACGTAAGCCTTTCTCCTTGGCCTACTGACTTCTGTGCCTGCTCTTCATGTGCCTACTCATCACATAAGTCTACTCATCACATACATGTAAGTCTGCAGGAACTATACTGGCACAACAGAAGAAACACTACCAAGAAAAATACCATAAATACTTAGCTTGGTTTAAATTCTTCTGCTCTCTGAAAATTGCAGGTAACCTGAGGGGTTTGTGCTTTTTTTGTTTTGTTTTGTTTTAATTTGGCTTCTTTAGGTTTGGAGCCTAACTGTTGATTTTATGGAAGTTCTGACTTACCGCTCTTCCAGTTTTCTATCAGAATGAGTTAAAATACTGCCTGCGCAGTTTCTATTTAGAATGGAATATTCCAGTAGGAATTATTAGCTATTATTAATTATTAATAGTCTTTTGTTTTCTGTGGTGTGGGTTTGCATTCAGAGACTACAATGACTTAAAAATACAGAGTGCAACTTTTAACCCATGGTTATACAATTCTCCTGTAGAAAATAAACATAATGCTGTGCTCCATCAATACTAGAGTAAGGATAAAAGCCTGGATTGTTGTAGATTATTCTGAGCTATTATTGGTGGCTCGCTTCATAAAATATTACCTTTACTCAGGCTCAGCAGTGGTAAAGTGTATTGGCCAAGGAATTCATTTGCAACCAGTGATATCTCATCTTCCACACAGAAGCGTATCAAAGCCAGTTCTGGAACTTGGACAGTAAAAGAGAAAGTTTCATCCCATCTAGGACTCAAAGCTAATGAAAAGAGAAGATAGACAGTATCAAAATGCCATTTCATTTACTCCATTTCATAGCTGAGTTGTATCTGCTATCAGTATTCTGACCTGGTACAATGCTTTCTTTTTCCCTAGATTTCTGTGCACATTTAAATAAATGATGAGATTCCCACTGACTGAAGTGATACAGATCAGAAGGAAGTGCTTAGAATGAAGCCAACATGGACAGATTGGGACTTGCCTACAGCACACACACCATCTCCTTCTAGGGATTTATCATTTTTTAGCTACATAATAGTATAAATTAAAAGGCTGAGAAAGTTGCCACTGTCCCTTTAAAGAGAGCAAAATAGGACAGTGATACTCAGGTTCAGAATATCTGCTCAACTTAAGTTTTCCAATAGCCACAGCAGTTTCATGTTTTTGCCAGTTTCTCTCTTTACAGCATTGGAAATGAGGCAGGTGCTGAATGAATTAAGGTAGAAAAATGATTACATGACTAAAAACAAAATACAAAAGGGGACATGGAACAGGAGGGGGACACTTTGCCTTGAACAGTGTTCATACAGAGAGAGAAGGAATTTAGGGACCAGTTTAAAATGGTGGCAGTCTACAAAAAGAAGAAAGGAAAAATAGGAGAGAGAGACACAGAAGAAGGAAGATCACAGAGAACCTTAAGGCTGAGACTTCAAGAAGATCTATATGATAAAGGTAATGGAATGCTTGAAGACAAGCACCAAGATTGCACACTTCACCTGTTAAACAGTTAAGGGAGTAGTCCTACTAGAAACCTGATATAACCTAAATGTTGAAACTGCAGACATTTCTTCACAAAAATTCCTTTACATGTACCATGGTAACGGTTTGGACTCTGAGAGGTTTAATTTTCTTCATAGCAGCTCTTATGGTGATATGTTTTGGATCTGTGACCGAAAATGTTGATGACATACTGATGCTTCAGTTGTTGCTGATAGTCAAGGACTTTTCTGTTTCTCACACTGTCCTACCAGCAAGTAGGCTGAGGGTGCAAAAGAGAATGGGAGGGGGCATGGGCAGGACAGCTGACACCAAGCAACCAAAGGTATATAGCATATGGTATATGGTATATAACCATAGCATATGACGATGTGCTCAGCAATAAAAGCTGGTAGAAAGAAGGAGGAAGGTCATTTGAATTTATGGCATTTGTCTTTCCAAGTAACCATTATGCACAATGAAGACCTGCACTCCTGGAAGTGTCTGACCATCTTCCAATAGATGTGAAGGACTAAGTGAATTCCTTGCTTTGCTTTCCTTATATGCGGAGCTTTGCTTTACCTATTAAACTGTCTTTCTCTAAGCCCACAAGTTTTACCTTTCCAATTCTCTCCCACATCCCACTGTGGGTGGGGAGAGTGTAAGGTGAGACAGCAGCAGTGTTGCTTAGCTGCCTACTGGGACCAGCCTGCAACAGTGAGTAAACACAGTGTGTATTCCATCTTCTTTCAGGAGAGTGCTACTAATAGAGAGCTTATGCTTCCTAAACTTACTGTTCAACAAAAATGGCACATAGCTTGAAACTCTGCTAGAGATTTTGTGCCAGAAGATCTTCATCTAGAGAGAAATAATTGCAGACTCTGTAAGAATATAACAGCTTCTTGGGAAGGAAAAATGGTCATTCCATATAAAATATTATTGTCCTTTGTTCACAGTTAAGAGACAGACTGATGCTCACCATTGCTTTTTATGACACTAGATTTTCTTTTTACTTGATCTTCTGGCACACCGTAGATTTCTATCTGCACTAAAGGGTCAGCCTTGTTAGTCTTTGACAGGTTGCTGGGTGGTAACTGATGACCACTGATGAGCTGTAAAATTAAAGTTGTAATGTATTGAAATAACTGTAAGAATTAACTTTACATGATAGCCATATAATAGCCATCATAGCAAAAACTGTTCCATAAGAAACTACTATAAGAAGCATATATCAGCCATAAGGAAACTGTTACAAAAATACACATTAAACACAATGAAATTAAGAATATGGCACTTCCTATTTAATTTAATTCTTGACTAGTTTGATATCATTGTGTTTTACATAATAATTTTCAGATTTCAGCTTTTTCACTCAATGCTGCCTGTAATTTAGTTACCAGGAAAAAAAAAAAAAAAAAAAAAAAAAAAAGAATCAGTGGTGATTTTTTGCAATATCTGAGATCAAGCTCATGAATTTCTATTAAAGCTGTGTCTACTGGACTAGCACCAACACTTAGGGTGACATCAGCAGTGTTGCAGGGTATGTAGCAGTGTTCCTCACTTATGTTCGTGTTCTTTCACAGGAACATGTAAAAAGTCAGCCTTTAGTAGGCTCCCTGATGATATTCTCCTTAATTTAGTTAGTTACCTGGAAATTTTGCCTCAGAGTGCCCTGTAATCTGGCAACCAGCCTAAGAAAGGACTTATGAAAGTCACAACTTTGTCTGCCATCTATCTCTATTTCAGGACACCTAGGAGAGAATAACCATCTGTACAGTGTTTGCTTTTTAGAAATCAATGCTGAAATGTATCAAAAGAGATACATAAATCCACAAGCCTAGGTGAGAGATGTGATACTTTGATCCAGATCTCAAGACTAAACATCAAAGCTCAGCATACAGATTCTTATCCCCCTGTCATCCACCAAAAAGTCAAAAACCACAAACTCCACCTTTTGCTTAGGTACTTTCTGTAACATTTTGGTCCAAGAAAAGTTCTAGCCTGAAACACTGAGGAGCAGTGACTTAGCAAACCCAGATGCTGGCCCCTTACTTCCTAGAAAATATCTATTACCCTCAGTAGAAAGCTTTTCAAGATGTAAGTGCAGACAAACAGCCCATTTAGAACAAGGGGAAGTCCTTTGACATGTCCTGAACATCATCAGCAAAATCCAGCTGTATTGGACAAGTTCTACTTCATGTTTTTTACCCCTTTGCTAGACCCAGCCTAAGGCTCTGAGAGGATGCAAAGAGAATGCTGTTTTCAGCTATGTGTGACCCAAATCCATAAATACAATACACTTGTGAGGCCCAAGGTGAAATAGACATACAGAGAGAATAGAAAAATAATATGGTATGCTTGGAAATCTCCATTTAAAATACTTTGCATATTCATATTTCTTCTTCAAAGGCTATGTATAATCTTTGTGATAGGAACTGTGGCACATCAGGTAAGAATGGTATTGAATTAAGTAAAATCAAGCCCTGTGTGGTTTTTGTCTTCATTCATGTTCTCTAAATTCAGCTAGTCAGCCTGAGAAACTTTGATCCCTAGATTTGCCCTCTAACTATAAATTTCTCCATTCATCAAGTTCATCATCTTTAGCAGAAACTGTTTTTCCTTTGACTCTCACTCCTGATTTTTATTTTTTTTTTCTTCAATCATTTCCTGTTTTTTTGCAGCTCACTCTATGAGTAGGGCTCTGCCCCACAGTCTCATAGCTGGTGGGTTGCCACTGCTGCTTTGCATTCTGCACTATCCACCCTGTCATCCCAGCCTAAGCCATCAGTCTAAAAAGCTTCCTTTTTCTGTGCCTGCTTCCTCCATACTCAGAAATTTCTTTCCCATTGTCAATGATTTTGCCTGTCTCCTAGATTACAGTCAGGAATTTATTTATTTTTTTTTTAATTTTAATTAACTCCAGCTTTATACAAATAAGGGCTAAAGTAATGTACGTATATGCATGGGTGCTTGAAATCATCCAGTTATGTCTATTCGTAATTGGTATGCTCACTGTTAGGACACTAAAATGTTCTTGATTAGGTGCACACATTAAGTAAGCATTTTATAATTGTTATTAGCTAATGTTTTATCTCCACTATTTATTTGTCTGAAAGAAATATCAATTATACACTAATTTTATGCTAATTAAATAGCATTTATGCAAGTGGTATACTGCATAATCAGAAACAGCATTTTTTCATTGGGAAAAGGTAGTTTTCCATCTAGAAAATAATTATAAAACATCTACTTGACTGCAAAATAAGGGTTTTTTATAATCCATTATTTTAAATAACATTTATTTCTAACATTTTTAAGAATTAAATTAGGTTTTAATTTGGGAGAAACAGAAATAATTCAAAGGTTTATTGATCCTTTTCTTTTTTTACAATTATTTATATGAATTTAATATGAAAAATAGTCTTTTATATATGCATAGGAAGATATCTAAACTTAAATGAAGCATAAAGCTTCCTAGCATATCTTTAAATATTTGCATTTGTTAAGTAGCATTATTGTAGTATACATAGCATTACTCATACTTAAAGAAAATAATACCATGTAGAGTTGGTTTCTGAAGGCTTTCAGAGTTCAATTCCCACAATCCTAAGTGATGTTCTTATGTCAACTACACTTACGACATAATACAAGGTACATTTACATTTCTGTGCAAAACACTATGGAAATCATGGGTTTTACAAGCTCTTATACCCTCTGCATATCTAGACACTTTTTGTAAACAAAAGCAAATTACAGATGGGAAACCATCCAAGCAGCAATAGGTACTATAGTAGTGATATGTTGATAAAAATAACATTAAACTTTCCAACAACCAGGAGTGAGGATAAAATAAGAAAACAATAATGGATAATATATAGGTCTGAAATACATAACATTAGCTTGTTTTCACTTTTTATCAAACAAATTGAGTTAACTAAGCTTACCCTTATTGACAGAGACATTGGCTTACTGTATCTTCCCACATTGTATGGGTTAAAAGTTGAACTGTGATTTCTCAGGAATTCTGGTTTCAGAATATAGCCACAACCACCATTGTCTAGGAATTTTCCATTTTGCAATTCCATTTGCACTCCTGGGGTCTGGAAGTTTAAGGCCACTAAAAAAAATAAGTAAATATGTATTTCAAAGAATAATCATTGACACCATTTTATAAACCAACTCTCTGACAATTATATTCAAATCAAGAGCAAAAGGGCTTAAAATATGTATACTTTTCATCTCATATTAGATGCTGCTGCTTCTCTTAGACATAGCAGTATTCAATAATGAACGATTCATATGCAAAAAGAGGTGCAATGTGTTGTGTTTTCACTTTTTCTTATAAATTAAACCTCAGAGAATAAGAAATGAGAGTTCTTTTGCTCTCCATGCAGACTAAATTCACATAACAGAGTCTCTACAGAAGCAATAGCCAGGACCCTGGACCTGCTTGCAAAGTTCTGCTATGGAAGGCAAAACCATAGGATTATAAAAAACTTTAGTTAAGGTCTATAAGTTGTCTCACAACCATATCACCCTGAAGAATCATAGAATCATGAAATATCCTAAATTGGAAGGGACCCACAAGGATCATAGAGTCCAACTCCTGGCTCTGTACAGGACCAGATGTACACAGACCCTATGTCTGAAAGTGTTGTCCAAATGCTTCTTGAACTCTGGCAGTCTCAGTACTGTGACCACTTTCCTGGGGAGCTTGTCCAAGTGCCTGACCACCCAAGAAGATCAAGAAGTTTATTTTAGTATTAGCATATTCTGTGTAAATACATATACGTTTATAGACTTAGAAGCAGTTTTAAAAGTGTTTGTAAATTTATGTGAGGAAACCCTATGAGCTTAAGTCTCCAGTGCTGATGGTTATTGATAGTATACACATGACAGATTTTCCTTTTCTTGGCAGCTCAAAACATTTCTGGTTTGCTGCAGCAATGATAATGTAACAACACAGTTCTCATCAACATGATATTGTAATTCATGAGATAAAACCAACACTGAAATAGACCTGTTTAATGAAATTTTCCCCTATTCCAGTACATTGGAGCTTCCTGTCACATTCAAAATAGAAAATGCACAAGTCAAATCAGTGAAGCGATAACATGATATGTGTTAAATAGAAAATGATAAAAAGTCATTTACTTGATGGCTTGGCAGGAAAAAAAAAAAAAAAAGAAGACTTTAAGCAGTACAAGTGACTCCTAATAATAATTCAGGAAAAGGACCTTATTATGTGTTCTTATGTGATAATATAAATCTATTGAATGAATGTGTAGCATAATTCAGAAATTATTATCTCCTGTGGAAAATAACGGAAATTTGGCTGTGTTTCACTGAAAAAAAAATAAATAAATAGTTTTTTCACTGCTTTGATGATCGTTTAAAAAACTTAGTATTAAATAACACAGCAGTAGATCTGCAGAGTGAGGCAGCTGGTAGTAAGGAACTGATGTTTTCATTATACTTGTCTTTGGTGGGGTTTCTTCAGAGGAGCTCTAGCCTGGTCCCATGTACGCAACATCAATTAATTGCTGGAATGGTCCCAGACTGCATCCTCTGTTTCATCTGAAACGAATCCTATCTGTGCAAGGTATGATTGCTCTGCAACATGAACTGCTGTGCATGTTAGTAAGTAGGAACAACTGGGAAACTCGATTAAAAAACATTGACAACAACAACACATGCGCTCTTGATTTGAACTGCATGCTAACAAAGACACTTGCATAGATTCTGTGGCAATATGCAAAGGAACTTTAAACCTATTTTACCTTTGACAACAAAAACTAGGCTAAAATATTCATATTGTCCGGTGCACTCTATAAACTTTTTATTTTTATATTTTTTAATAGGGCAAGTACTCTTGTGGCATAGTTTTGGCAGTGATTCACTATTTGTTCTTATGACTCAACACACCTTCCAGAAACAGACTTAAATGCTGTTCTGAAACAGACTTAAATGCTGTTCTGTAATACCCTTGTTAAATAGCAATGGAGTTATCAAATGCATTGATTCAAGCAATGCAGTGGATTCTATAGAGCTGCAACCCTGAAGGCTCCTTGATGCTTACATCCTGGCATGATTCACAGATAATTCAAGATCTCTCAGTCCATAGGTAATTCCTAGGCCACAGTTTCAGAATAGGGGGTTTAAAAAATGTAACTGAAATAAGGTAATTCAAAAAGTCGTGGCTTTAAATAGCAGCAAAAAATAAATGTATTTGTAGCTTCCACATGATGAAACAAATTACATGATTGCACATAATGAGACTGTTGCTAAATTTGTCAAGCTTCATAAGCTACTAAGCAGGAAAATCTGATTTAACAACAGAAACAAGCAAAGGAGAATACTTTACGTTTTATCATATTAGGAAAATTACTTCACACAAGTGAAGGTCAATGTTATTATGGGCTGGTATCTTCAAATATCAACACTATGTTTTTACTTAATTTAATTTTACCACAGAATAATTTAAAAACTCACTGAATACTAGTTTTAATCTACCTACTGATTTTCTTCTGTTGAAAGTTGTAACCTGATTAAGGTGAGTAAATGCAAGATTGTGTGTTATATTCTCTGAATTACATACCTCTACTAAAACTGTTTGTAAGGTTCATAGCTGCCTGGTGTCTCCTCAGAAAACGCTTTATGATATACCATTGTTTTACAGTTTTACATTTTAATCAGATGCAGTTATAACCCTTATACTTCTTGAGAAATGGCAAAGTTCATATATTAAAGCCTAAGTTTTTCATTGCCTAGCAATGTGGTCTTAGCAACCTCTTTCTGCAAGGAAGACTAAATTTCTACCCAATGTTTCATCTCAGATTTTTTGAATTCAATAATAGAACTTGTAGTAACATGCTTTGTGCTGCTGCTTTATTTAATGGTAGAGACTTTTAATGCATTTATGAAGCAAAAGATGAAATAATCCCTAATACAGAGAGGAATAAAAAGGGTATATTTTGTCCCAAATCTTTTTATCAGAAGCAGTTAACTGAATTAATTCCTGCAACTGATTGCAGAACTAACTACAGTCTAAATAGTCAAATCCAACACTTTCTATACGTAATACCATTCAAGACATAATTACTTTTAGACTAAAAGCAACAGCTTTTGAAAGCCAAAGTGAAAACTGGTGATCTTAGATTTCTAAGATACTATGATTTGAAGGCAATTGAGGAAAACTGTGCGTCTTTGGCCTGTATTTGAGATGCTGCCTCTCAATTAATATTCCTATTTCAACTTGGCATTTTTTATTTTTTATTCTTTTCTTCCTGATACTATTAGCTGCTGCAACCCTGAGGTTTAATATATTCTCTGCATTTAAAATGGAAGATTTTAAAATGGATAAGTACACATTTATCACGAATTTTCCCTAAAATGAGTTACTTAATTGTATTTTATACCATTTAAATCCATCTCAAAATGTCTGAATTCTATGCAAACTCCAAAAATATCATATGCAAAAAGCACTCAGTGCCAATGTTCCTATCTCCATGATTTACTTCACTCATTTAAATCTAAAGAAATATAATACATCACACTTCTAATCCTTTGATCAGTCTTGTTGCTATCTTCTCACGTCTTTCCAGTTGTCTGCTTAATGGGCTGCTCACAGTAAGTGCAATACTGCACTTACAAGACTCATGAAGGGCAAATAGCAGCAAAACCATCTTCTGTGTCTTAGATATCCCAGATGTGAATTGAATTCCACCGACTAGGAAATACTGTGAAAACAGGACCACATCCTAATGATCTCGCTTATCTTGTCATTGGTTATGGGATGATATATGACTGTATTTGAAGATATCTCATGTATTCCATGCTAGCACTCCCAGTTGGGCATTTACTTTATCCTCTCTTCTCCCGTGTGACTCACGGCTGGACCCAACACATTAATGTCCAAATATACATAAATATTTTCATAAATCTTTACATGACTGGATAGTCTTTTCTTTTTTTTTTTTTTTTTTTTTTTCAGTGATGTAGGTGTCTTTTAAAAGATCGTATCTTCAGACTGAATAAAAATCATGCTGAGTATGATCCTAACTGAGAAGGATCAAAATGTGGATGAGAAGGGAGGACATTCAGTCATCAAATTACTTTGAAATTCAATGTAAGATAAACCATAACATGATGACAATTTGTCAGCTGTTATGTATACCTGGAAGCAAACATGCATTTAGCAGAAGCAGCAAACACAACAGGTGGAACTCTATCAGCAGTGAAAAGATTCTGTCAAACTAAAATACAGTAACACCTTCATCATCTGAACAATAAATATAAAATTAATTTCTAAGCCCTGTGCAAACATTAACTATCACAGAATCCTCAGGTATGAAGACTATTTCCCTTTTAGTATATTGAAAATATTATTCAATCTACAATGCATCCTGATGGAGTTTGCTCCAATGTGTACAGTAATACCCTGAAAACCCTTCTTACTAATGCCAGATATACAGAAGATAACATGTTCTATCACCAATGGGCAATAATACATAATTCAGGAAAACAGTGGAACACGCTGTTTTTTAAATATCTTTTCCATCTGTGTCTATCTGAGAAACTAGAAAAAAAATCCAGCATAATTAAGACTGACAAATTATGGCAGCCTCTTCAGGCTGTTCTGAGCCTGAGCGTTACTCACTATTGTGGTCCTGCCTTAACATGTCATGCTAATTTCCATTGCATTCTCTGGGTGCTTGTAAATTAAGGCTGGTAGAAACACCACCCGAAGTCAGTCTTTTAAATGTCCTCCACATCCCCTTTGCCCTAGGCTTAATGAGTTATTGTGTTGTGTGTTTTTTTTTGTTTGTTTTGTTTTTAATCTTTATGGTGCTTCAACCCTCTTGCCAAGCCAGTGAATGGGTGAGATCCTATCCAAACTTTATGAACAAATCTGACTACCTACCACAAAAAGAAAAGTATACAAGGAGTTGTTTCCTTACCATGTTCTTCACTCATCTTCACTAAACAGTTTAAATTTTGACATACCACCTATATATCATCTTTTTTTCTTTCTGTTTTTTTTTTTTTTGATCAAGGAATTTGGTTAAACTGTATGATTTCTTCTTACAGAATAAAACAGGCTTTAGCTATTCAATT